GGGGAGGGGGAAGGAGGGGATGCAAATGGGTAGAAATCTGCCCAAACGTTCCCCCCTTCCTCAGCTCTCCCCTCCCTTTTCAGGAGCTGCAGATGAAGAGGACGGCAATCGAGGCCTTCAATGAGACGATCAAGATCTTTGAGGAGCAGTGTCAGACGCAGGAGAAATGCAGCAAGGAGTACATCGAGCGCTTCAGGCGGGAGGGCAACGAGAAGGAGGTGCAACGGTGAGGACAGGGGGGTGATGGTGACCTGCCCTGCCTGGGGAAGGGCTCTGGGGGCTGCAAGGATCATCCTGGCCCAGCGCAGAGCCGAGGCATGCGCAGTCCTTGTCTCTCCAGCAATGTGCTGTGGGCTGGAGCTGGCAGGCTGCCTCCTCTGGCTCACAGCCTAAACCTCCCCCCCCCTGCCCCTTCTTTCTCCCAGGATCCTCATGAACTCGGAGAAACTCAAGTCTCGCATCACAGAGATCCACGACAGCAAGATGAAGCTGGAGCAGGACCTGAAGAAACAAGCCTCGGAGAACCGGGAGATCGACAAGCGCATGAACAGCCTCAAGCCAGACCTCATGCAGCTGCGCAAACTGCGGGACCAGTATTTGGTGTACGTAGCGCCTGCCCCCGCGGAGGGCTGGGAGCTCCTGCTGCCCCTCCAGCCTGGCCCAGGAGCGATCCAGCTGGCTCCTTGAGGGCTTTTGGGGGCTTGTTGGACCGGCTGGAGGGTTGCTCGGTGCAGGAGCAAGCCCTGCAGCCTGCAGCCTCGGGGCACGGGCGGTCCCTCAAAGGGGACGGCTGCTGCCCTCTGGTGATGGCTGCACAAGTGATGTCTGGGCCGGGCACGCTGCCCGCGCTGAGCTCTGCCTCTCCTTCCCCCAGGTGGCTGACGCAGAAGGGTGCCCGGCAGAAGAAGATCAACGAGTGGCTGGGCATCAAGAACGAGACAGAGGAGTGAGTGCCCCTGCTGGCGTGTTGAGGGGGGGGCAGGGGGCGGCAGGAGCGCATCTGC